CACAGTCGATGGAACTAGTTCCGATTCCGTACCGTATTAGACGTTCCCGCTCGAGGCCGCTCAAATGCAGCGAGCGAGGCCGACATTTCCATGAATCAAACGAAAGTGAAGTCCATTTCAGCTGGCGATCAGTGGGCTGAGCTATGGCGGAGATCTGGAGGGAGAGAACTAGGGTTTGGCGATGAACGGATTGGAAGAGGAGAGGCGGCTCCTGCAACCCAAAACCAGCAGAGCTTTATTTCCCCAGTCTGTCCTTTTCTTCGCTTGTGAGAGAGAGAAGAAGAAGAAAGAAGAAGAAGAAGAAGAAGGAAATAAGGAATGTATTTTTACCAGTTTTACCGTATGTCTTTGGTATGAGGCAAGTTAATTTTGAATTTGAGCGTATAAATTTTTATAGAAGAAAAATTATACAAAATTCAGAAAAGAAAAATTATTTTATATAATTTTAACTGCAATTTGTCGGAAATAATCTCACCTTACATTATGATTGTCAATAAGTGAAACTTTACTACAGAATATAGTGTTATTGTTTACGTATTTGTGAGTTTTGATCCGTTGTTAACCTTCTAATGAGCGATTAGTGACTTAGCTTATTTTTTACAAATATTTAAAAATGAAATCATTTGATTTATTTTTTCTAAATATACTTTGTATATTTTAAGTCAAATATCGTGATTAATAAGTGAATGACAAATGTTTTTGAGACATCCAAAGAAGAGAATCTAAATTTTTTTGGATATGTGAACTTCTATTTGAGAGAGAGAACTATAGTCCTAAAATGAAGTTCGTTTTAATAATTTACATGGTCCAATCATATTTATTTATTTTTTTGATTACTCATTTGGTAAAATAGTACTCCGTGTCATTGTTATTCTTTGTTTTATAGAATTTTCATGTGATATAAAATATAGTCGGTTCCTGTAAAAATGGATCTTGGTGAAAAAAATAAGAATGATGCATTATGTTCATGGTGCATTTTACAAAACAGGTAGTGCATTTTACAAAGTTTGATTTAACTACAAAATTATCACCGTGGTTTTTTAAAATTTTTTTTATTTTTAAATTTTTATAACCCTTATGTAGTAATTCCCATAACCTCTAATGAAAAGGCCTAGCCTATTTCTATCTCGGCACAAGTTAAGGTGAAGTATTTTAGTTGGCAAAGAACAATTTTATTCTCATAATCAATTTGTAATTGTAACTTTTTTTTTCTTTCTCCCATACTTCCTTTGAGAAGCTACTACTCTACTTACAAAGAAACCATGAGAAATGATACCAAAAACATGCTGATTTTCTTAAAAAAAACGTTTGGTATCATTTTTTAAAGATGAATTCAAAGTTTCATATAAATCTTTTAATATAAATTTATTTGTGTTTCGACAATATCAGCATTGTTTATACTCTACCTCTTGGATACTTTAGATGATTCGCCATAATTTCTTCATCGATCATATCATTGAAGTAAATAACTAATCATAAAAAATGAAAAAAAATAAATATTTGATTCAAAATTGGAAGGAATACTTCATACTCTGGCAATAAGTTGTTTGACACATTTTGAGTTAAATTTAAAATTTTAAAAATCAGGTAGAATCGGATATACTTTTGTTTGGGAACCATTTATCAAATATGTCACGATTTGGTCTAGCTATCTCTCATAAACCGTTTCAAGATAACTTTGAACTAACTTGAACCTAAATGGACCGACTAATATTCACCAAAAATCGGTGAAGTGGCTCTATCTTTATTTTTATTTATTTATTACTAGTATAAATTTAAGATTTTCGGTACGATTCGAACTCTAAAACTCTTTGACAATATAATGTTTAACAGTTCAACCAACTAAACTAAAATGTTTCTTGTAAATATTATGAAAGTATTCCATCATCCCGAAATTTGTAAAGTAGTGTAGTAACAAACATTTCCGTTAAGAACGTGGATAAAATTGTAAGTTCACATTTCTTTCTCTCCTCAATTAAGCTTCCTCCCTCCTCTCACACTCCTTTCCCAAACTCGTCGCTGAGTTTGAAGCTTTGAATCCAAAATCAAAATTATCACTCTTCTCTCAATTGTTTGTCTAACGTAGAACCCAAATTTGAAACCAATAACCTTCATGGATGAGTTTTAATATTTATTTTCTTTGAAATTTTTTGAGACTAACCAATAAAACTCATCCATAAAGTTTATTGATTTTAATTTTAGATTCCGCCAGGAAGACTAATAATTGAGAGAGGAAAGATCATTTTAATTTTAGGTTTAGAGTTTCAAACTCAGCGACGAGTTTGGGAAAGAGTACGAGAGGAGAAAGGAAGCTTAATTGAGAAAACATAGAAGTATGAATATACAATTTTATCCATGTTCTTAACAAATACGTTAACAAAGGATCATTCGTGAAAAATGATATAATAATTGGTGACTAAATAAGTAATATTTGGTATGTAGGGACTAAATATGTAAAATAACTTATAACTGAGGACCTTTTATGGAATTTACTCTAATCTTTTTCTGAGCATTACAAGGTGGTGTGAAAGATCAAGCGAGAGTTAGGGTACCCCTAACATGGTCCTCATTTAAAAATTGGTCAATTGAGACCCTACATCCTAAAGGGGTATTATTGTAACATCATTGTTAGTTGAAAATATAAACATGCTTCCACATGAAGAAACTAAATTGTACAAAATTAGCAATGAAGGACCACAACAAGAATCATTAACAACTGAAAGGCTAAAACATCATTTCTCCTGTAAAATTGTCAACAATGCTCCATATCTATCTACCATAAATGCTTGCATCAAGAATCACTTGATGGGAACATGACCATGACAATGGAAAGATCATAGACGATGTGAGCGATATGGCCGAGATCACGTTTTGTCTCCTAACCCTAGCGTCTATCTCCACTGTCACATAGCATACTTTTAACCTCACTTTCGAGTCGGGTTAGTCGGGCCCCATCTCATGTGGGCTTCTAGTATTAGTTATACGATGAAATGGGTATATTAGGTCTCACACACTATACATATTTGGGTCGGTCCAAATATACCCATCAGTTTTCTAGGTTCCCGGGACATTCAAATACTACACAACACAGAAATGAATGGGAGGCGAAATGAGCAAAAAATGGCAGTCTTTCAACTTAAAGAAATGAAAGTTATTCAGTCACACCCTGTTTTGCAGTTCATCTCTAGGCCCCTTCCGTAGGCAGCAATAAGTAAAGCCTCAGCTCGGCCTGGAAAGTTTCAGAGCTGGAGTTAGTATGTGCTTATAGATAAAAACTTCCTCTTTTATTTTTTTAACCTTTCTCTAGCATTATCCTGATATACTTATCCAATTAGGGCCTATCTTGAACCAGGAAAATACTAGGGAAAGAAATTAGAAAGAAAAATCGAGATGAAAAAGGCAAGGAAAGTTGGGGTGAATAAAGGGTAAACAAACCCAATTAATGTATTTTTATTATTTACATGGACCATGCTAGGGCACCCCGCCTTCTCATAGACATCTACATGTACACATCAATGTTCCCACCACCGTTCAATATCTGTGGATGCCTGTGAGAAGGTTTGGGCGAAAGGTGGAGTGAGAGTTGAGATGACTTTAGCATTTCCTTAAAGAAATAATCAGATTTAATCATTTTCCCAAGGTAACGCCAAACACAAGAACAAACTTAACATATTTTTTTACCCCTTTCCCTAGCATTTTCAGTGATCCAATCATACCTTTTACTTACCATGCAGGTGTCGCAAGAAAACTTCAAATTTAAACGGGGAACATGTTCTTTGTCTTCAATTACAGTCTAATAGACATTGATTAGATCTTTTGCTTGTAATGATTAGACATTGAACACAGTAAAAACAAGAAAGATAGCGATTAACAAATAACTGTGTGGTTCATACTGCAATATGAGAGCAACAACCCAGTATAATCCCAACTTCGTTGGGATCTGAGGGTCAAGATGTACACAATCTTACCACTGTAAAAATAGAGAGGCTGTAATATGATAGACGTGTGAATTTGAAGAAAGGTAAGTGCACGAACCATGATCTTTCTTCCTTTTTAGATCTCTTGCTTGTAATGATTAGACATTGAACACAGTAAAAACAAGAAACATAGCGATTACTGTGTTCAATGTCTAATCATTACAAGCAAGACATCTTGACCCTCAGATCCCAACGAAGTTGGGATCCCAACTTCGTTGCTTGTATTGATTAGATCTCTTGCTTGTAATGATTAGACATTGAACACAGTAAAAACAAGAAACATAGCGATTAACAAATAACTGGGTGGTTCATACTGCAATATGAGAGCAACAACCCAGTATAATCCCAACTTCGTTGGGATCTGAGGGTCAAAATGTACACAATCTTACCACTGTAAAAATAGAGAGGCTGTAATATGATAGACGTGTGAATTTGAAGAAAGGTAAGTGCACGAACCATGATCTTTCTTCCTTTTTAAGTGTAAACTCATAGATGGAAATAATTTGCACGCCATCTCTCGACTATAATCCTGACAATTTACATTTTTTACATATTACAAAGGATGTAGCAGTAGCAAGCAGAATTTGGAGAACATATTCCTCCTTTTCCCCAACAAACAAAATACTGAAACAGAAAAAAGAAAAAAAGGAAAACAAGAACGCGGAAGTGAGTTTGAAGAGGCTGCACAATTTGAAGTAATATACAATATAGGGAGTGCTTTAGAACACTTATCAAAAAGCAGTTAGCATATGAAAAAGCATTACGCAGGTGGGTACTTGCTTTTGGCTTACGAGATTTAAGTGCTTAAAATAAGTAATTAGCAGAAGCAAATCAAGCAATAAACAATAAGCAAAAAAATAAGTTTATTTACCAAACACCAAAACTGTATAAGCTACTTAAAATAAGCAATACGCAATAAAAATTGAGTTTTCTAAAACAATCCCATAGTCCCATAATTGATATTCCCTCCAACCCAAATCATTTGAAATTTTTAGCCAACAACAACAACAACAACAACCCAGTTAAATCCCACAAGAGTAGGGTCTGGGGAGGGTGTGTGTACGCAGACCTTACCCCTACTCGAAAGTAGAGAGGCTGTTTCCAAAGAGACCCCCGGCTCAACGTCGAAAGTTGCATTGCTTGACTAACTGCTACTTCATTAATTAAAGAAGCGCAGACAGTTTAGAGATCCATTTTGATTTATTCCATCACACCCCAAAGCCAAANACAACAACAACAACAACAACCCAGTTAAATCCCACAAGAGTAGGGTCTGGGGAGGGTGTGTGTACGCAGACCTTACCCCTACTCGAAAGTAGAGAGGCTGTTTCCAAAGAGACCCCCGGCTCAACGTCGAAAGTTGCATTGCTTGACTAACTGCTACTTCATTAATTAAAGAAGCGCAGACAGTTTAGAGATCCATTTTGATTTATTCCATCACACCCCAAAGCCAAAAAGTCCTAAATTCATTTTTGTTTTAGACACGCACGCACACAAAAAATCCTGGTCAACTTTTTTTTACTTTTCATGATCAAACGTGGAGGATGACTAACGTGTTCTATAAACCTGGCCGTGAGTTGTAATGTGCTTGTAGTTGCATCAACAATCTCATACAAAACCGAAGATGTGCTATTGTCACTACTCGAAGATGATGAATAATACTCCATAGTTTTAAATTTTTGAAAGAGTATTGTTGAATATTTGGGTGTGGTGTGAGTATGAGAAGTGTGGATTGTGTAGGTTAAATGGTTTATATATAGGAAAGAATTTTTTTCATTGAATACATTTTTAAAAAATGAAAAACGAGAACATGATCGATAGTAAAAAAACGGCTATATTGTTAATGACTTTTGCATGTTTTTTTGGTGAAGTATTCCGAGAATGAAAACATGCCTTGAAAATTTTGACCACATTAACGCCCAACTGGGCAGTGCTTTAAGGCATCATCCAACAAAGAAATGAGGAAAACACGCCCAGTACGCATGGTCTTAGGGGCATTGATCTTTTAGAATGTAAGAAAAGAAAAAAACAAACCAAACCAAAACTCGAATGAGTAGTCAACATGAAGACATTGCAGGCTAAAACTAAAACTTTACATCTCTCTTCGTCCCTATTTATCTTCCCTTTACGTTTTTGGGTAGTCCCTAAAATTTAAATAAATCTCAACCACACAATTTATTTTATTAAACTCCGTGTAAAAAATGAGAACATTAAAAATCAATCATACCTTATTTAGGTGACCTCCTGGCAGCTTAAAATATCTTTTCCACAATGATGATGGAACGGGAACAACAGTAAATCCCAAAGCTACTAAGATTCCAATCCACAATCCATACCCGAATCCTCCACCCCACCAACCCTTCATGCAGGGAAATAAAGTAAAAAAAGAGGAAGAAGAAGAATACAATAAGTTGGAGAATGAGGAATTCCAGACAGTGAACAACTCAACATAGATTGGATCTCCGTTATAGGGATTTGAATAAATGCTCATTGCTGAGATGAGAGTGCTAACCTGTTTACCATCTTGTGGGTATGGAGATGATTGCTCGATAAATGCAGTAGTTCCTGAAAGCAAAATGAAAACCTGTCAAAAAGCATCTTCATATAGGATGCAGTGCTTCTTCGAATCTTACTGAGAATATAACCTTAGAATCTTAGGTAGGAGTGTCTCAAGAGCTACGATTGGAATAGTTGGATACACTTTTGGGCATTAGCTTGTAGTTTTTACTGCTGTGTTTTTCGCCTTAGTCCGTAGCTTGTGCAGGTGTGGTCTCTCTCGGTGCTTTGGGTCTAGTTGCTAGTATAAGTATGGGTGCTTCTTGAGTATGTGCTCTCACCTTGTTCGTGCTACTGTATTTACTTTATCTATGTTTTTTTATGCGGAGAGTCTCTTAGAAACAGCCTCTCTACATCCAAATAGGTAAATAGGGGTAAGGTATGCGCAAGCACACTCTTCAAACCCTACTTTTGTGTGATTCTATTGGACTTGTTTTGTTATTGTCGTAGTTGGCTAGGGCACATTATAATGTGAATAACAAGTACGTATGAAATGCCAAACTATAACACAAAACAAACAGAAAACCGCACTTCGGTGATGAGTCACTATGCAAATTACCAACGGGAACTTCAGAACTTCGAAGCAAGTTAACAATGGACTTTGCATCTAAACGACTCCGTAATCCTTTCCCAACCATTACTTTTAAGTGAGGAGAATCAAATACCTGCAATGAATAAAAAAGATACTTGCACTTGCAGTGTATAATGCCTTATAGTTCTTAAATACATGAATACTGCTAGAAAGTGCAAATGGAGAAAACTCACAAACAAGTCCTTTTAAATTATAATTGGGTTTCAATACATTCCAAGTTTTGACAAATATACACTTCTTTCATCTCCAGATAGACTTTCCTATTGTGGGTTATGCTTAACTAAAGGTATTTTCAGTTCAGTTCATATGAAAATTGGGGTAAAACTAAAAAAATAAAATCTATATATTTTAAAACTACACCAAACAAGACTATATTATTTTATCAAACAAAATGGGCAAAGAAAGTGATCAAAGATTGATCATGTGAACAATGAACAATAAATTCTAACAAAAATCTAAACGTACATTCATCACTTATCAAATTCCTTCGAAAAAAAGAATAAAATAAATACATTACTTTTCCAACAATTTACTTGGGAAGGAGACTAGGAGAGAGTATAATTTCTACTCCGTATTTATGAGGACGAAAAATAGAAATGAGGATTACTTGAGGAGATTGATCAGGTTTCAGTATGGCTAGGGCTCCAGAAACATCCGGGTCGACTCCAATTACCCACTCAGTGGAAGGCTTTGCGGGAGGAAAGGGGCAAGAGAGAGCGTCCAGCCAGTTCTCCCTGAGCTCAGCTCTCTGAATTTCCTTAACGCCCCTAACCCTAGCTCGTCCATCAGCTTTCCCGGAATCTCGAAGGCCAGTGATCAGGGACGGCGAGTCCAGCGCAAGAGGCGCAGCGACAGCTCCGTCGGCGGCAGAGGCCGAGAAGACCCTGAATGCGGCGGCGGAGGATGCAGCGAGGCGGAGCGGCGGCAGGATGAGGGTGGCGAAGCAGGCAGGAGGAGCGAATGCGAGCTTCGACAGATGGAAGGATTCCATGGAAGGAAAAAAAGCCGAAAGCTCCTAGCTTTTCAAATGGCTTCGCGTGCTTAGCTGCTTGTGGAGGGAAGGGCGTGGAGAGCGTTCGAGCCCAAACCGAGCGTTTTTGGCCTAAGTAGCTCACAAATATCTTTTTAAAAAGTACTCCATATTCTTTATATTCCGTAATATTTTAAAAATTTAAAATTATTTGTGTTTGAAATAAAAAAGAACTAAAAAGCAAATGAATATTTACTTCGGGGGTGTTTGTTTTTTAGCCAGAAGAGCTTCTGGTCTCTTTTGTCTGCGCCGCGCAGACGCGCGCAGATGCTGAGCTCTGCAAATTGTTTGTTTTTTGGAAGACATTTCACTCAAAAAGGTCTTCCTGACATCTTCTTGGAGAAGACATTAACCTATATCTTCTAAAATCTTCTAACATCTCCATTTTTTCGTCTACTTCTCTTCACCACCACCACCGTCCACCACCATCACCACCGTCCACCATCACC